AAAAAAAACTATGAACAAATTCCTATGCACACTGCACGTATCTTATTTTGAAGTAAAAAACAAAATGGGGCAAAAACACCTGGCAGGCCGGATAAATGTCCTCGGCGGGCCGCATGTGACCAGCAGGCTGTAGTTTGAGGATGCCTGCTAAACACTGGCTCTTTAACATTGTCATTTTTGTCCTGCCAATTCATTTTCTTCTTAAAGGCTAGAGGTGTACAGAAATCTTGTGGGGGGTGGGGGAAGGAAAAAAGGAACTTGATTTTTGTTCCAATTATTATCCATATTAATTGTTCCAATTATTATGATCATTATCCAGTTAGAAGAAAGAATGAGTAGTTTTAGCCACCCATTGACTACCACTTCTACTTTTCCTGTGTGTAGTGCGGCCTGGAACTGGCATGGGATATGGCTTCAGAACTGATGCGCACAGGTCAGGTTTCCTAGAGCGGTCCAAGGAGCTGTCTGGTGCGGGGGGGTCATGTACGGGGCTGCTAGCCACGAGGGTGGCATTTCAAAACTACCAGGTCGCTCCTCGGGAGCCAGATGAGGTTTTCTGCACCTGCAGAGAGTTGCAGGGTCAGAAACCCCTCGGGGTGGTTCTGCCCTGTGTCACGGGGTCGCTCTGAGTCAGCATTGACTCGACGGCAGTGAGGTATAGCTAGCTGACCGGGGTGCCTTCTCCTTAGCAAGGGGCCTGACAGCCGCTGGAAGAAATGACAGGAGTCGTCTTTCATCACCAAGGAGTTTAAGTCTTTGTAATTATCTCAGCGACGTTTAGAAAGAATTTGCTGAAAGCGTCTTCAACCTGGCCTTCTTTCAGTCTCCGTCCAAAGCTCTGGGATGCACATTTCACCACGAAAGTAAGAATTCCTGAATTTAACCTGCCAACGTACAAAGCAGTGCCTGGCGGAGGCAGCCTTCACAGAACACGTAGGCGGTTCATGCGGGGCTCCCCCGGGGCTGCCCCCCCTGCCCCGCCCCCGTCACTCAGTGCCTTGTCAGTCTGAAATGTAGCTAGACTCCCTCAACATCTGATGGAAGAAGGAGCCTGCGTCACTCCTCTGCTACACTTTATGTCACTCTTGTTTCTTGCTGTTTCCAATGACTCCGTTTAGAATGAACAAAAAAACAGGGACTTTTCCTGCCACGTAACCAACCGCGCGGTGGCATCCCAGAACCACGCTCAGTGCCTGCGGTAGATGCCCCAGCAATGTTTGCTGACCGAGCACGGACTGATCTAAAGAGTCCAACTTTGAAGAAGGATAGCGATGTGGTTCCTGGAGACAGCCAGGGTTAGAGCCACCTCAGGCGGGCGCTCTGCAGGTTCATCTGGCTAAGGGCCTTGCCCTAGGGGTGGGGTGGGGTGGGGGTGGAGTGTGAGAGCAGCAAAAGGCAGGAGAGGCAGAGTCTGAGGACGAGTTGGGGCTGCAGAGCAGACAGGTGCATAAGGAGGGGGCTAAGGTCTTTGGGGACATAGACCCTCCCTGGGCTTCTCAGTGCCCTTGCAGAGAGCCTTCCCTCCTGAGAGGGCAGTGGAGAAAACCTGAGGGGGCTTTAAGAGTCACTGTAGGAACCTGAGATAAAACATAATCCCCCTTTTCACCCTAGAGGCACAGGTATGCCCCTGGAGCCAGGTGTTGTGCCAGCTCCCTAGGTGGTAGCCCTCTCCCTGGCCAGAGCTCATTCCTGGGTTTGCTTTCATTCCAGAGTCTGTTTAGAACTCTGGCTCCCTAATGTGATAAGGAGGGTTGTGAGTGAAAACCATACCCTCCCCCCCCCACCCCTCCCCGCAGGCAACCTCAAATGTCTCTAAGCTCAGGAAGAAAGGGTGTTCTATCCCTTTAGAAGTCAAAGCCTTCCCTTGTGGCCACACACACTCGGCTCTCACCCCTCCCAAGAACTGCTCTGTACTGCATTTAACCCTCCCCATTCCACTTAAGAGTAGAAAATACCCACGGCTTTTATTGATACCCTATGATGTTTTTATATGAGACACCCAAATCTTCCACCTACGTGCTCATTGTGAATAAGAGGTTTCATTACTATTTGTAAGCTGATGCTAATTTTTCGTTTAGAAAAATAATTTTCTTCGCAAAGAAAATACCACTAAGAAGGTTTTATTAATAGTTATAGCACTTGGCCTTCTAACCCGTGATCAACTGCAGATCAGGTAAGATCCTAATATGTCAGACTCATAAAACTCCTTCCCCCACGATTTATGGGCACTGGCACTTCCCAGGGAGTGGACGTCCCTGTCTGGTTATTGCCTTGACTGACCCTTAGGGAGATGGTATCCATAGGTTATGCCCAGTCAGCGCGGTTTATAGGCCACTTGGAAACTTCTGGAAGTCTGGATAGAGATTTTTGGACACTGAAAGCTGATGCCTCTGCACTTCAAAGGGAGCTACGTTATTAGGAGAATGGTGTGAAGGTGTGTGTGCATGTGTGTGTGGGGGGGTAGGGGGAACGGGGGGGGGGGGATGAGGCTAAACACTGACCCTATTGCCAAGGGTCAGTGGCCTACGGTGAGTCACCCCTGGCGGCTGGTGCTCCTGACACAGGACTGTGGCTTGAGGGAGAGATGGGGGACATGCCTGCGAGGAACATGGCACCAGGACTTAGAGGAGTTGTGTCGAGAGGAGGAGAGCACAGGAAGAGGGGCCACGCACAGCTCTTACCTCAGGGCTGGAGAAGTGGGTGGGCTTGCTGCCCTCACTCTCACTCGAACTGCTGCTCTCGGTCTCCGAGTCCGATCCAGAGCTGCTCTCCGAGTCACTGGAGGAGCTGCTGCTGCCGCTGCCGCTGCTGCTGCCCTTGCTGGACGGCACGGAGCCTCTGCAGTTGGTCTGCTGGACCACGGCGCTGCCAGCCCATGAGGCCCCAGAGAAGGAAAGGGAAGGAAAACCAAGTGAGCAAACACGAACACACCACCAAGCTGCCATGCACTGCGAGCCAAGGCGGGTGTGGGGGGTGGGGGGCACACAGTCGACCCGCCTTTCATTGACCACGAGCTGGAGCTATAAGAGCAGGCTCAAGGTCAGTGGCATCCTAAAGGTGGAGAGTGAACGAAAACAGAAATCATGAAACTGGGAAAGGAAGTTGGCAGATGCCCCCACCCCGCCCGTTGTCGATGGGCACGAGTCATCTGTGTGGCCATCTTAGAAGGGAGGGATGGGGGTGTCCTTTGGAAGGGACCATTTCTCTCCTGCCGCTGTGCTGGGAAGGGCTTTTCAAATGCGCGTCCACATCCAGCCATCTACCAAAAATGCAAGGAAGTCCCAACCGTCTGAAATCATTTTCAGAGCGTGAAAGTGAGCGCGGGTTTCCTGTCCGCCCCAGAGGAGGATGCAGCGTGATGGGATTAGCCACAGGGCTGTTGGGAAGGACACTACATTCTGCTCTGGGCTTTTCTGGCAGCCTCGAAGGTTCTGGAGACCACAGGGCATTTGAAGGCATCGCCCTGTGCACCCCCTTTTCCTGCCCACGGGGAGGAACGCTGCCGTCCTGAGTTGATCTTGCTTGCTTGGCTGAACACTAACCACGGTAGCTCAAGCTTGTCGTGTGCTCTTGGTGGGTTCCACACTTTAAAATGCCGGCTTACAGAAACGGCAGGGAGAGTGTACACCGGGCTTTCGTCTCCACGGTGAAAGCCACCTGGGCGTCATGACACACACTCAGAGACGCCAGGAGCAACAACACCACACCAACAACACGATGCTTTATGGGCCCCACAAACATGCACACAGCACACATCCAACTACGGGGCGACTGAGCCGAGAGGGACATTTCAGTACTCACATAATATTCAACATCTTCAAAGTCCTTTATTAATTGGACCTCTGTGCTCTTTTGAGGCCAAGTTTTAAATCCAGGAAACAAGTGGTTCCCACCCCCTTAAGCCCCCACCCCTTTAAAAAACTTTGAGTCAGCAAATCTCCGCTGGCCACTTCTTGGTGACCACGGTTGCCCCCAGGCTGAGCATCTGTGAAGCCGGGGACCTGGAATGACTTAAGGTTTATGGTCTAACTTGCAAAGCAGCCTAGACAAGGTAAAGGACTCTTTCCACCCACCCTTTAAATCTCTGACAGACGTTTGCCCCAAGGACAGAGCCTCGTAAATCAGTGATCTATGGGTGGGGGAGTGAGGGGTGGGGAGGGAGAGTTAATACTGATTGGAGCCTTGCTTTCTTCTCCTGCAAAAAAGATAAGGCAAGAAATTGTCTTGCAGGACATTTAAACATAAAAGTGCCTTTTCAGATGGCAAGGTGAGGGGGAACTGGAGTTGGTGCTCAGAGGTTTGGACTTTTCCACTAATGTCTGGGTCAGTACCTACTGTCTGACACAGTATGCAGCAGCAGAGTACAGCTGCACACGATGCCTTGCCTGAGCTGCAGTGAGAGCGCTTGTGCAGCCGCTCATCTGTGTCTGGTGTGGAATGAGGAGGAACCCTGGGTCTTGAGGCGGAGGAGGGGAAGGGAAGGCTCACGATGAGGGGGATGTAATATTTCTTTCTTCCCTTATGAGCTATAATCCGTCTTTCCTGTTGGCTGCATGGAAATGGCTGCTATTGATGGAGTCGTAGAACAAAAACCAAACCAAAACACAACCCAAGAGCCTCTTGGGTTCTGACTGGACACGGACAGCTGGGAGCCATGTGAACAGTGCAGTGGGTAGGTCCTCAGACCGTGAGGGTGAAAACGCACGGTCCCATGGCCGCCTGGGTACAAGGATGGTGGGGAGTGGAGGTGGAGGGAGAGCCGTGTCTCTGTCCCTGCCACCTGCTGGGAGGGCATTTGCAGAAACCTGGAAAATGAAGATGAATTGAGGGCATTCCGATGAGTGTGATGTGCTGCTCACACACTCTGATTGGGGATCAGTTCATTCGACCTGCTCTCATTCAAACTAAAAAGGACCCGAGCTGCTGGCTCTGTGTGGACCCACGGGCTCTGCATGCAGCCGAGGCAGCAGCCGTGTGTGTGGAATTCCCTGTGGCTCACACCACAACATGACCGACTGTCTTCTGAGAAGCGGCACTTTAATTT